CTGGAGGGTCCCACCAGCACCGTCAGTGCTGCCACAGGCTGGGAAACCAGGAAGAATAGATCTTATCCACCCAGCAGCACTGGAAGGGCTTTGACTCATCAACATCCCCCCCAGGAGTTTCGGTGCCCACGCAGGTTGGGAACAGGTCAGTTTGCTGGTGTAGGCTAAGGCAGGATGAATAAGCATCTCCCCTTGCAAGAGTCTGACTCAGCAGGACCACTGACTGCACCAGACAACAGTTCTCAGCTGCCTGGGAATAGTTTTCAGGAGAGAAACCACCCATGGAACCCATTACTTCTACCTTTACACCAAGTATCACAACATACTGGAGTTTCTATTTTCTCAGTTAACTAATTACAACACAAATAGCACCTTAGAGAAAATACTCATTCACATATCAAGGGTCGAGTGCACCTAGAGGAAGAACCATTAAGATTTCAACTGAAATCCTACTGGAAACTGCTATCCCTCGCTTTCAAAACAGCTGCCAAACAGCAAAAAGATCTGGTTTAAAATTCTCATTTGCAAGCAACTCGCAGAAACCCACGTCAGCAGCAATTTCCCAAACAAGAACCTCACTCAGTGTCCCAGGCAGTTATTACTTCAAAGTACCATGGAAAAGAAACACACTTATAGATATTCAATGTTCAGTTCTGAGGGTGGATGTGAAAGGAACTGCCTAAGAGTACAGAAGAAAATGCCATGAGAAATGGCTGCAGAAGTTCTGAAAGCCAACCTGGTTTATAAATATAAAAGACCTGTGTAATATGAGCACTAAGATAAAATAGGGAATTTTAATTATGCATTTATCCAGGAGCAGATTGCACCTCCCCACTGTACAGACAGCAGGTCACACGGTCACCAAGACAACCCATTCACTCTTCACTTCGTCCTCTTACCAGGATCTTCTTCATCCTGAAGCTGCTTCTTCAGCCCTGACCACCATGTGCTGATTTCTCCTTCCACAACTAACACACACCTGTGCTTTCCAACGGGTCCAGTCCTGCCATCCCCAACCCCCACCACTTTGGGGTTCTCCCCCTGAAGCACCACGTAGACTCAGGTTACCTCAGCCCCAAACACGAGCAGGGCTCAGTTCACACCACACCCAAGGTCTGCTCCACTGACCAGTGGTCACTGTAATCCCCTGCCTGGCACACAACATCAACAGCACGAAGACAAACAGCTGAAAACCACAGAGGGGCCCATCACTGGACCTGGGGGCTGTTCTCTCCACTCAGAGGCTGGAGTTGGTGAAGGAGCTGGATTTTGTCTGTGTTCAGTGTCCTCCTTGGCAATACAGCCCCATAAACAAGCTGAGATGTGCAGAGCTTCCGTCATAAGACAGATCTGCAATTTTAGGCACCTTAAACTACACCATTCTTAGTTTAGTCAGAATGATGAAATATTAGAAGTAATTTTTGAAAAGCTCACAAGTATGAAGAAGCGTTCTAAGCTTCAGGTTTTCCCTTCTTGTTGGGGAATTCAGGTTTTCCCTTCTTGCTGGAGAACCTGGTCAACAAGAATTCTTCCAAATCAGCAAATCTAATGTAAACTGAACAAGCCTAGCAAGGTACCACTGCTTGCTGGAGCAAATAAAGGCCAAACTATTAAATATTTATCCCTTTCCACAGAGCTCCTGGTTTATTTATAAGTCTCTGTTGAAAAAAAAAAAAAAGAAACAATCAACAAAAAAGCCTTCAGCTAATTAGAGGGCAGTGGAAGAGGAGCTAGTTCAAAGTAGCAAAGCAAGCTCCAGCAGCACAGCTCTGTACCTGCTGCTGGGATCCAGCATGGATCTCACTCCAGGATTCGGCTGTGAGACTGCCAACACCAGCCACACCTGCAGGTCCATTAAACCCCATCCAAGCAACAGGAATGTATTAATGAACTCCTCTTTGGAGATGCAAAAGTGCCCAGAGCCACCAGGCAAAGCAGCTGGTTCTCATCGCTGAGGGAGCCAGCGAAGGCTCCGTCCTGAGAACTGACTTGGGAGTGAGGACTGGATGTGATACCCTGCACAAACGTAATAAATAGAAGGAAAACAAAGCCATCTGCCTACAACAGACCTCTTAAAGTAGTAATATAAACCTGTAAACTCCTATAGATGAGTATTTTAAATATGGAGCTTAAAATCCACAAAAAATCCCAAATCAAGCAACCAACAGCTTCAGACAAAACACAGGAGCACAGGGAGAAGCAACTCCTTTTCTGCACTCAAATTTCACTACAGCAGGTCCAAACCACACAGAACATTTTCCCATCTACAAGTGGATTTTTAAAACCCCTTAATTCCCAAGCAGCACAACTCCATCAACACAACACAGACTGTCAGAGTATTTTTGAGTGGCAGAAATGCACAAAAATTGAAGGAACCCACACAGACAGGGAACAGAACTTTTTCTCTACCTCCAGACTTCATCCTCAAATAAACCAAAATACCAACAATGGAAACAATGATTTTTAAAATCCTTTTATTTTGCAGAATCTATATTCCACTGACAACATTTTTGTTATTTTACTACAAGAATACTGAGCAGGCAATGTGGCTGTAAGAGGTTCATCTCCTTGCAAGAATTACTTCAGATTTACTTGTGGGGAAACAAGCCCCATGAGACAGCCTCCCATCCTTCCCACAGCACACACAGGCAGGTGCATACACCTCAGCTTTTCTCTTCCCCAGTATTCCAGACCCTTGGATGGTTCTTCCCAAAGCAGAGCATCAGCCTGGCTCAGACAGGTGATGGGGACACCCCAGACCTGTGCCTACAGATGAAGGTCACCCCAGAGCAGACCTCCCCTCCTCACATTCCCAATAACACAGACAAAACCATGGGCTTCACATATCCAAGACAACTCAATGAACTTAACTGTCAAATGCAGAATTTCCTCAGCCTCCCTAGAAGTAGGACAAGAGATAAATAGCATGCAAGAACCTACATTAAAAAAAAATTACTAAGTCTGCAAAGGTGGTGAAATCCAGCTTCCTAACCTTTCCAAAGACACAACGACATCTCTTTTGACACTGGTTCTTTCTCCTCAGTCCTTCCTCCTGCCGAGGTGCCCTTTGTGGGATGGAGGGGACAAGGGAACTCCTGACTGAGGCACCATCCCACAGACCTTCCCGGTGACAGTAAGAACGTCTGTCCCTGCTGACACCCACCCACCCACCCACCACTGGGGGAACCCCCAAATCCCTTCCTGCCCCAATATCTGAGACTGTGGCTGTGGAGCCTGATGGCAATTAGGGTGCACCTGCCCCAGCCTGGACACGCTGAGGGATCAGGTGGGTCCCCAAGATGTCAATAAATTTCAGCAAAATATAGAGCCACTGTGGCTGCACTCCCCACACCACACCTGGGACCCCTAAATCCCACCCGGGACCCCACACACCCCTCCTGGGACCTGCACACTCCACCTGTGACTCCATATACCGCACCTGAGACCCCATATACCCCACCCAGGAGCCCACGTATTCCACTTGGGACCACCACTCTCCACCCAGGATCTCACATACCCCTCCTAGGGCCCCACGCCCCGCCCAGGACCTCACAAACCTCAGCAGAGACCCCACGTACCTCACCTGACACCCGGGCCCCCCCCACGCCCCCTGGGCCGTGAGCCCCGTGCCCCGACATCCCCCCGCACCCCGAGCCCCCC